GGATCAAACTAGTGAGGAATAAAAAAAATTAAAAATTAATGTAAATTCTAATCATGCCATCCAAAAGACTAAGTATCAATTTAATATTTTGAATCTCTAACAAATAATCATATACTTACATTTTCTTTTCAATTTTCCCTACAATTCTCTTGACAATTAACATTATAGTATCATAGTGTTAAAATCACTAAATATTTTTCCCAGCAAAATATCAAAATAGATTTATGACAACAAAATATTCCTATCTAGAATCCTTTAGTCACTAAACTAACAAGTTTTTAGCATTAAAACAGCTTTTAAAAAGAAAGGGGGGCATATAACGAGGTTAACCCACCAAACTGGTCGGATTAGCCGGTTTTCTCCGGGGTCACCCCAAGTCAACCCGACCACCGGTTTTTACTGCTGATTGGATCGGCCAGGTGACTAGTTGGCTAGTTTCCGATCCAACCTGGCCGGTCCAGTCTAGTCCAATTTTCAATACTATGTTTTCTGGTAAAAAGTGCGCAGAATCCAAATCTCTTCTTAAGTAGGTAGAATATTTGAAAAAGAAGATATAAAATATGAAAAAGAGAAAGACTAACAAGTATTTCAGAATAATCAGAGCGCTGAGAAAGATAGCATAGAAATTTAAGACACACTTGGAATTCTCTTAGCATCGTGAATAATATAATAAAGTAAACAGATGCATTGAATTTCCCCAATTTCTAGCAATGAAGTGAAAAAATGAATAGAATCTCCCTCAAGTTTTTTTTTTTGGGCCTAAAATCTCCCTCAAGTTTAGGCTTAGACCATTAATTGATTCCTTAGTGGAATAATTGTTAGATACAAACCAAAATCTCTAATATTTAATTATTCACTAGAAATACAAATGAGCAATAGAGATGTCTCAAAAATGAAAGGGGCTTAGTCACCTAATCTGGAAAAGTCTCTTTATTTCTTTTTTAGCCAGAAAGAAGGCTCTATTTAGCAAGAATCCAAAATTGAAAGACGATTATATGGTCAAGCATAAATTCCATAAGAAAAGTTTGGAAGGAAAAAATGGACATCATAGACATGTTATCATCATCGGTATTTTGGAAGTCACAAACCTTATCCATGACCCTAATTTTTGGAGGATAATTTCTGTCAGCATGCTCAAGAGTATACCGCAACATTTCAATTATGGTAAACTCAGTCACACAATCATCGCATTCTGCAGGAATAATAATCAACTGTTAAACTTACATCAACATAAAAGAATCTTAACCTGAATGAAAACTCGAAAAACTACCTGGGATATCAAAAATTTGAGTTGGTGGAACTCCTAGCAGCTCTACCAAATATGCACATACACGAGCACGATCAGATAGTGAAAGAAGATCCCCATGCGTGACCACAAGCACTGGTTTGTCATCTGCAATTAATCGAGATGATTATTTAACTAACAATACAATTTGGAACTAATTGAAGGAAAAATATGATGAATAGCAGAGAGAGATGCGGACGTCAATGAGGAGAAAAATTAAATGGCTGAAAAGTTGTCTAATTTGCAGAATATATAGAAGTTCTCATAAATTAGTGATTCTTCAAGATCTGTTCCAGCCTAATATATACAAGAAACAAAAGAGAAGCAAATGTTTCGCACTTAGATGACATGCTGGAACGGCACTAAGGCAAGGAAAAACAAAAACAAAAACAATGCAAGACTTCCAAGTTCCAGAAGCTATATATCAGTAATTTAGCATATCAACTATTGAAAGGAAATATATAAAGAAAAAGAGGAGTCGAAGCAGGTAAAACAAAGTTCTGTAAATTTTACAGAACTTAGGTTAATTCATGCGAAAATTCTCAGTTAACTTTCATATGGCATATTATCTCAAAAGAAAATAATATCTCCATCAAGAAATAAGAAAATGCACACCTCAAAATGCTATTTACAAGCTACATAAGAGAAGAGTAAAAAAGACAGCGAGAGTATTTGGGAGAAAATCATCTGTGCTTGAGATTTAAGGACTAGAACAAGGCAAAAGAAAGAAAAAGTATATGTCCTTACTCTTTAGTGAGAGTTTTGAACTACTCACTTTCTTAAAATACCATGCTGGATAAGTGGATATGCAGTATTTCTTTCTCTCAAGGTGGACTTTATATTGCAAATTGGGCTAGGTCTACATTTCTCAGCCTTTACTGACTTTGGCATATTAAGAAAAGAAAGCTAATCACGAAGCCTTACATCTCATGGTTGAAACATATCAGAAGCAGCCGAGTTTCGGCCATGTCAACAACAGACTCAGCAGATATGAGGTACAAATATATCACACTCACAATCCTTTGATCTAGCTGTGTTCATTCATTTTTATATTTTCCAAAGTTTGACATGTCGACATGCCCAAAGTTCATTATATAGCTATGGTTCTTAGATGTTAGAATAGATGAATAGAGGCACACTTGTTTAATATGCATGTAGGCCTATAGAGTATCTGTTCCAATACACATAGAAAAGAAATACAAGCAGTTACAAGAAGCATATCCAGGAAAAAAATACATCTGTCTTATAGACACCTTTAAATGACAGGTACGGGCAATTGAAAGTAGAAGCAACCATATCAGCATATCCTCTCTCCGAAGCACCAGTGTTCTCCAGTGATTTTAAAAGTGAAAGGCCATTAGCAACATATATAACAAAATTAACTTTCATCCTCTTGCTGAAAAAGAAATCAGTCTTGCAAGCCCTATGCTTTAAAAGTTTCTTCAGACGCTGATCATCAGTGCTCCTGATAAGAAATCCCCATTAGGTGAATTGAATATAAACAACGAGTGAATTAAAAATGTTATGTAAATTGAGCGTTCATACCTCAGAACAAGCTCTCCATGACTAACACCTTTTGTCATCCACTGATACAGAATTCTATCATCGTCATTTGGATTGCCAGACAAACAACGTGTATCATACAGACAGATAGAAGTTGAGCTTCTTGGAATCATATACTCCTGGAGAAAGTATGTCCCATCTCCTGTAGATGAATTACCTGGCATCAGAAGATAAATTAAAAAAAATTTATTCAGACAGCTCAATATCCATTTATTCCCTGAGTCAAAGATATCCTCAAATTGAATCTTCAGCAAACAAATTTAAACAACACATTGAATGTCATACATGATACTTGTGCTCTTGCTGTTGCGTATTTGCCAACCTCAAATACTTTGGAGATTCTATTTATTAGACTACTTTTACCAGACCCTCTTGGACCAATCAATATGAGGCATGTTGTCTTTGGTACATCATAATCACTTAATTTCAACCCACCCACATTCTCTGTCCATACTCCTGGGCTGTAGCTGTAACAATTAAACCAACATATATGGCATAGTCAGTAAGAAAACTTTGCGATTTCATATCAGGCTTGTGTTAACTGAAGATCCCTTTTAACTGCACTCACCATACGTTGTTAAATGCAAAAAATTGAAATTAGTCTTGGTTTCACAGTACGGTATAAATCATCAAATAAAAGTGAAGTATTTTAGCAGTAAGCCATAAGTGAAGAAAGACATGCATGCAAAATATAATGTGAAGCGCACGGAGCTGCAAGTTCTAAATGACAGATATTCTGAAATAATAATAATAATAATAATAATAATAATAATAATAAATACCTATAGTGAACAAGCAAATGTGCAAATACATAATAAATTAGCAGTTTGGCACACTTGATGGTATACTACACAAATATTTGACCTCATGCTGATTCTTGTGACTAAGGTCCCGCATTCATTTGCCAAGAAGTAAATGTTACATCATTGAAAGAAACAACAAATGCCGCTCCCATAATGCTGACTTATCAATGTTTCTATTTTTTACCCTTACACCAAAGTTTGATTTTCTAAATTTCTCACCATAAACTTCGACGGATGAAGTGTTATCTTTTAGTAATATAAAAACAAATATCAATACAATATATAAAACATGAGAAACTTGAGTTCAAATCAATACCTCAAAATTTTCTCTCTTTCCTCTTTCAGATTCTTGCAACTAATTGTCCTTTCATCATATTTCTGCAAGATTTCTTGGTAGATGCGATGTTTTCTTCTGTTATTGACTTCAAGATCAAAAGAAGAAGAAGAAGGCCCGATATTTATCTCCCCAGTTTCTACTCGTGCCAACCCATTTTCCCCATTCACAGTGTCATTTTCAACCTTCATGCTCAAGCTATCCCTGAAACATAAGAAGATAACATAAAAAGGACATAATTAAATTAAAGGAACCGAATCAACTTTAGACCACTATTGTAGTGCGCCTACTATTATTCCAGACCCATTTTTGCAAATATGTTGCCCCAGGAGAAACTTTCAATTCTCCCCTCAAATCCCCAAATGACAGTGGTCGCCAATGCCTTAGCATTGTCTATCTTGCCGTTGCCCTATAACCATATACTGTCGTATTGTATCTGTGACAGTATCACTACTTAGCTCACAACTACAGAGGAGTTTGATAATTCATGGTTTATACAAGAACATGAGCCACTGATCAGACTGTACCTTGTAAGAGTGGGAGAATTGGAAGAAAGGGTAGAAAAAACGACATCTGAACAAGAATCTTCACCTGTACACAATCATCGAGCAAATAGATAACAAGCGCATAACAAGAATCTCATATGTTTTGCATCAATTTAAACATAGATAAACAGGGAGGGAAAGTATACAAAAAACACACACACACCCACAGAGCACTTAATCAGATTGTTTCCGTATTTTGAATTATCCTACAAAGGAATCGAACAGAAATTACATGGACCCCTCACTTTCTGAGAATCAGAACAGAATATTTACAGAGGCCCCAGAACGCTACCTTGAGACGAAATTGAATCGCCACCCATGGTGTGCTCTGTTTTGCTCAGTGATTACCTTCACTTCTATAGAGCTAAGAGCATTTCCTTGGGTTCTATACTGCCTCTCCCAGGGAAAGTCAAATCGGGAAAGATACTTCGCGGGTAAGAAAATGGATGTTTTTGTCAATGAACTCGTCAATTTGCCTATGTGTATGTATACACACACACTCACTGTCTCTCACCTGCCCGCGCGTACGAGCTTGTTGGCCCCGTGCGACTCAGTTGCATGATCTCACTGAGCACACATGCTCTATAAGCAGCCAATGACACGTGTATTTATCCAAAGTCAAAAGTCAAAACTATTTTCGGACCATTTGTTCTGATTTTTGCACATATTAGTGATGATTATATAAGAAGTGATTTATTGTACACCTGTAGTCCTATTTATAAGACAGAAAAAAGATATTTTTTGATTCTATTTATAAGATATAAAGAGAAATTTTTTATATAGATATATAATTTTATCCTTTATTTATTATTGTATTGACTTTGTTTACATAAGCTATAATACATATTAAATAGAGATATAATAGGAAAATTAAATTTTAAATAAGAGTTAATAAAGTTTAAAATTTTTCTTGGCTTGTGTGAAACATACTGGAAGTGACTCTTAAATATGACCAGAGGAGTATATATTATAAAAGAAAAGTAAAAATTATTTTACAGGCCTTAATTATAAGACTTCATTTGTGAACTACAAATAAAGTTTTATAATTAGAATCGAAAGTAGTATTATTTAGGGATAATTAATTGAGAGGTCCTTGTAATTTCCTTCCATTTTGAACCAGATGCCTAAGTTTTTTTTTCTTTTTATTAGATCCTTTTAACTTCGTGTTGTTAGAGCGGTTACTCCTTGAGAGTTAAAACTGTTAAATCAGTATTAACAGAGTTAAACTCCGTTGGGTGGCATTAAGCTGGACCATATTCTCCTTCTGCTCCCTTCTACCAAAACGCTCTCTCTCTCTACTTCGTCCACCACCATTTCTCTTCTCTTCTCTTACCCGAAAGCCATCCCGGAGCTCTACTTGTCTCAGTAGAGAGAACATGTGGGCGCTGGGGTGAGATCATGAGGCTTGGCCAAAGAAGATGGGTTTTGGCTGGAGAGGATTTTGGAGACAGTCGTTGGGGCTGTGCACGATGGAGCTAGTGGTCATTTAGTTACAACTGTTTCCGGTTGGAGCTTCCATCAGGGATGACCCTAAAAGATTTGGACTTGAACAAGAATTTTGGTCTTTCAATGTCGAGAGCTAAGTACCTGCTCACTGTACCAAGGTGCTGTTTTCATACCAAATCTTAGAGAAATGGATAAAAATCGGTTGATGTAAACAAATGAACAAATTCGAGATTATCATTATATATGTGCATATATGGATGTAATAGTTAAACGACATGCTTTGTTAAAACATTATAAAATTGCCAAGCAGGATCAAATCAAGAAAATTCGTCCATTCATATCTAGACTAAATTCTTCATGCTCGCAATATGGAAGGACAAGATGCATGAATGATGAAACGAGAGAGGAAAGAGATGGCGGTGGAGGGAGGAAGCAGAAGGAGAATTTGGTTCATCCAATGCTCTCTAACGGAAATTTAACTTTGTTTATTTTTATTTAACAGTTTTATATTTCAAGGATTAACGGCTCTAACTGCATAAAGTTAAAGGAGCCAATAAAAACAAAAAAAAACTTAGGGACTTGATTCAAAATTGAAAAAAATTATAAGGACCTCCAAATTAATTATCCCTATTATTTAGTACTCCTTTATAAGGTAGAGAGAAGAAACTTGTGCTATTAAAATTTTTTTATGAATATATAATTTTACCCTTTATTTATTTTTTTAACCATATTTTACCTTTCATTTATTACTATGTTGACTTTGTTTTCATGGAGTATAATATATATTAAATAGAGATAAAGTTAAAAAGTTATTAAATTTTAAACAAAAGTTTATGAAAGTTAAGGTTTTTCTTAATTTATGTGGAATACATTAAAAATGACTTTTGAATAAGACTAAAGGAGTAATTTTTTGTGTATCATGGTTGATAAAAAATAATTTTTAATTATTTTCAAATTTTATGATATGTCCGCATGTTTCGTATTTTTATGATATTTTATCTAATTTATTATATTTAATTATTTTAGAATTTACACACAGTAGTCAATTTTAATTAGAAAAAGCAAACTCACTCCATGGTTTGTGATTGGGACCGTAAATTTTTTTTTATAACTAAAGCATAGATATCATAGAAGTAATCCTATTCAAAGTACTGTTAGGTACTAAATGTGAGCATATCTCCTAACATGAATTCAAACCTTAGTTCGCTACATTGTGAAGAACTAATCCCTTCTGCTAAACCCAATTCCGTTGGAATGAGACCATAAATTGAAAGAACAGATCAAACAAAAGTGCCGTATTTAAGAGTCCAAGTGAGATACACTGGGACAACATGCAGCTTTAAAATCTGGCAAGGAGGGCAAAAAACCAGATGGAGACCTAACTTGGTGAACCAAGCCCAACCCGGTCTTGTCTCAGACTAAACCGGTCCTCAAACCAAACTTTTTAGCTTGATCATTTTTCAGACGACCAAACTCCTACAAATTTCCACAACTTTCAACAGGAGGAGGAGGTGGAGCAACCAAGTAGAAATAATGAACAAAAGGACTTACTTTTTTTTTCTTTTTTTTTTGGTGATAAACAAAAGGACTTACTTTAATACCATCATTATCATCATTCTTCCGGTTACATAACACAACTAGCGTCCATTCTCAGCAAACAATTCCAATTTCGCAGGACTAAAAGCTAACCACACATTTATCAACCAAAATGAAAGAATGTAGTAGTAATTCAAAAGCCAAAATTTACAGTTTACCATCCCACTAATTTACAATGCTATCGCCAGAATGAGGAACTAAAAACAAATCTATGTACAGTAACATGATGTGGTCGTTAACAATGCGAGACCTTTATATCTTCTAAATGTTGAAGGTTAGACGCTGACACACCTGAAGCTTGAACTCAGTTATCTTCACCAACAGATTCCTCTTTCTAAAATTTGATGAATAGATTTGGATATGGTATGAAATAGCAATTCCTCTGCCTCTGCTTCTGCTTCTGCTTCAGCAATCTTGGCATATAATAGCAGCATTTAGTTTCTGGATCAACGGCCCACAAGCCAACCTGGTTTAATTATGATGTCTTCCTTAAAATTACGGCCTGAGACAGACAGCGACTCGCCTTGTCGACGGTAACACTGCAAAAGATTTTAAGTGTGATGAAAACAATCCAAACTTGTAAAACAATGCAATGCTTAGCAGCGAAGAGCACATAACAAGCTAAAATATATGCCCTGACATAAACTTCAATTGAGAGTTAAAAGAATTTTGTCAAACTACCAACCAGAATTTAGTCAACTTAGTCCATTGAGGAAGACATAATACAAGTGAAGCCCTTCAACTCCATAAATACATCAACTTCTACCCCTTAAACTTCAAATTTTAATTTGAATTTTAATTCCTGTTCATGTTTGTTCGTCAAGCCATCATCATTTGAGAAAATAACATCGATCTCATTATGCCATCACAGAAACCAAAAACACGCACTTACAAGTGAGGAGGATAACTGGATAAGCATCGCTAATCAAGAAATATCTTTTTACCCTGAAACTTATTTTTCCTAATAGTAACTCAGACTGAAGTTACAAGTTTTGGGAATCATTCAAGTAATGGGTTAAGAAAGTTGAATAAAAATCAACAGTACTTCTCTTAAACCCCCAGGGACCAAAGTTCATAATGGAAGCAACAATTAGAGTAGAAAAACAATCTCATTTTGAGGATTAATTTGATCAATTCCACCGTTCACACCACAATCATTTACTCTGTTGCACAAACATGCACATAAGTTCTAAAATTGCACATAGCCGCATGACTGTAAAACGAGGTACGGAATGCACAAACCTTGTAACATACAACGGTATCATCAGGGTACATTGCAAATAACTTAGTACCAAGACGTGCATGACAGGAATCACACAGACTCTCATCATTGATCTGTACATGCCTTGACCTCTCCTCCAATCTTGACAACCTAGCATCTATGTCTACGGCACGGGAAAGGCTGTGCACAATCTGGGAAAGAAACTTTTAAGTTACAGAACTATCGGATCGTAAAATTTGTAGGCTGCATAAGCACATGACATGAGGGTATCGAATAGAAAATACAAAACTAGAGGACCAAAATTTGAATTCTGCTGCTAACTGTATGACACTTGCATTTGTATTGGGGTAAGACAATCTTTACTGACTCCTTTCGGATTACAGCTCATGGTTGTTTTAAGGTGGGGTTTGCTAATCTTCAATATTCATAAACATTGGTCAGCTTTGTAATGTTAATGAACATCCCCGCCTTTCACTTTTATCGGAAGACTGGTTCTTTCCCCAGTTATATTGGTTCCCTTGTTACCATGTGCAAATGAAAAGCCCATTGAGCAAAGAGGGAAAACATGGACGTACCTGCCCTTGACGATGGTGATGAACCCGGGCCCTTAACATTCTTAATAAAGTCTCCGAAGCAAGTTGGAGAGGCATATCTGGTGACAGTTTCTGTCAATGCCAAATTTTTGTTAAGACTATAACCCAAAACTTAAAAATACAAAAGATGAGCTAGTGCTATTCTGCAAGAGATTTTACATCTGTTAAAACCCCTTTTTTATGAAAATAACATCCTGCCCATGAGTTGATGGCTTCATGCAGCCTTGTGATTTTTACAAGGGGTTTATTTGTTTGTTTGTGTATAGCTGTCTAATCTTTCCCTGGAAAATACTTATTCCCCTAATCTTGATGCCGAAACACTTCCACTCCTTTCATTCTTGTGCAAGTTGCCAAGTATTCTTTGTTTGTTTTTTTTTTTCAGGGCAAATAGGATTGAACATGGAACGAAAATATTCCGAATAATATTCTTCTAGATTATTGGAAAAAATTGAATTCAATACCTCTAGAACTTGCAATGGGTCCAGAGCTTCTCCATGATTATGGAGAAGGCGGACAGCAGCAGTAAACATCGGATCCTTGCCATCTTGTGGATCCAAATACATTTCAAGCAATCTGATGTCATTACAACATTAAAGAAAAGGCAAAAGACTGTTATAAGACGTGCACTTTTAAGAAGTTTTACACCAAGAAAGCATGCAATGGGTAAAAGGAAGACAAACTGCATGTATGCATCAGCTCTGCCAATTTCGGCACAATACTGCTCAGCAGCTTCACTGTCTTCCAGTTTCCTGGGAACCAAAACACAAAAATAGTAAAATCGACATGCTTATGATTAATCACATTTGTCAACTTGCACTCAAGTGTTCCGTTACTAGAAATAAAATTTTCATCCTCATAATTTCAATCAATTTTTAATTTAATTCTATAGTTCAGAAGCTTGCAATTAGATCTCCATAATCATAAAAATTTTAATTAAAATCCTATCATTAAACCTCAATAAAAGATGGCATTAAATAGCACCCAAATTTTATCCAACAGAAAATAGTGCTGAAATGACTAACTGATGTCATCCTAGGTCTCATTTTCTTAAATGATTATGGTTTGACAGGAAGGTGAATGACCTCAAATTAGATAGAATGGAATAATGTAAAAAATCATTAAGATAGATCGACGCCTATTAGATGTAGAGATATACTGTAAGCAGAAACAGGCATCACAGATCAAGCCCAGAAAGAATGCCCCAAGATCAGTATCGGTCAAGTACTATTAAAGCATATAAGGCCCCCGTTACCCAAAGAAATACCAGTAAGAAAATATGTGCACCTTTATCAGCAATTTGTGAAAATAAGTTCATAAAAAATCTATATGAAAAAAGGAGAGATGCTTAAGTTAGTTTAAATCTTACAAAGCCAAAATTTGGAGGACCAAAGTCTCTTGCCCAAGTCTTCTGTATAGTATTGCCTGCAAAGTGAACCACAATAAACTGTAAGTTGAAAATATTTTGCCCTGAGGTTATGTTTGGATTTCATAGGAAAGAAGGGACGGTACACAAAGGAAGGAGACTCTCCCATACTTTTCATAAGAAACGAAGGAAATTTACAACTTTTGGATCTTTAATGAGGGAAGGGAGGGGACTTGTCCTATATTTGAAGTTAAATAAAAGCCAAATGCCGTCAAAACTTGAAATTAACAAGAAAAAGAAAAGAAAAACTTCCTTGTTTGTAAGAGATAATATGTTCTTCCATCACTCTTCAACTGATAAGAATATATTGACTTTACAAGCCAAATTTATTATTCTCCAAATTTTACATAGCTGGAGCATAATTAACACATCACAAATTGCACGAAACCGACAAAATTTGAGAGATAAGCCCCTCCCCCAATGATAATGGGAAGGGAAGATTTTATAGAAAGAAGAATAGAAAGTGCTGAAATTTAATGTTAAATCAAAGAAATGGTTGGCAGAACTAAGCCAGAGAAAAATACTCTACACACAGCTTTTGTACCTCCCTCATTCACAACACTCAGAAAAGTATATCTTTCAACTACAAGGCAAGCTCCTAAGGATAAAGACGAATTATAAAAGCAATCAGATATTGAGACTCCTACATAATAAGAGATCCCTATTCAATTTAATACCCCTTACTTTGTAAGACGTATCCAACGTACTTCACCAGGAAGGAATTTTTAAAAATGGCAATTGCCATAATGGACAAGAAGTAACGAAATCACCAGACAGTAAAGCAATCTAAGATGGGGCAGTCAAAAAGAATTAAATTGACCTTTTCCAACCATAATTCTGATCCTTCAATCAAGTCAAGAACTTCTTCTGGATCATACAGGTCCGAGGATTGCAAAAATATCTGCAATCTTTCTCTGACAGGAGTCTGAAAGATAGAGTTTGTCGTAGTAGCCAAATTTTTAACCTCCAAATTTCCACTATCAGGATTTTCAGGCTCAAACGCTTCAATCGTTGATTTGGCAAGTGAGAGGGCATACAACGTATGCAACTGAGTATCATTACAATCTTGTTCTTCAATCAACCACTGGAGATACCTAGAATAACAAGGAAGTCAGGGTGAAAGAACGAAGCAGAATTTCAACAATACAGGAGCAATTCATATAAAATGGGGAGGAATTCTAAGAAACCAAAGGCATAGATAACAGGCTTAAATAATAAAAATTACAATGTCATTTAAGGACCAATTTTGCCATTACATTGATGTTGTAATGGAGTTCATTCTACATAAGGAAAGGTACTGCTAATGGTAGTTCAGGAAATTTCCATTACATAGACTGAACAAAAGTGGACGGCTTTGTTACTTAACCAGAATTTTGTATTGCTATTTACTCAACCAGCATCATCCTCTCTTTTTTACTGATCACTTTCCATACAGAAGCATGACCATAAAATAATAAGCGCAACAGGAAAAACTTAGGTATTAAGCAACCATAATCATAATAAGCAAGCTAAGCACAGGAACAATTCATTTGTTTGAGAGAAAAGGAAAAGCCACTATAAAGAGAAGGATTGACAGCTTGAATTAAAAATCCTCGGAGAGATTAAGAGCAATGTAAAAGAAATGGGCATACTGCCAGGTGCCAGCATATGACACATATATACCTTTGTAAAATGTCTACCTTATGTGGATCAATAGCTGTAATTACAGCATCTGCGATAAATGAAATAATTATACATCAATACCACTGATACAATATGCACAATGAATGCAGTGAAAACATATCCATTACTATGATAGTGGAGATCTATGTAGGAAAATACATCATCATAATTGACAATCAGTTTTACCAAACCATGTCACCAAATATATGCAGGGCAGTCTGTGATAATAATAATAACATTTGCACAGATGGAGTTAATCTCTTGCATGCTCTTCCTTTTCAAAATGCATAGGCATCTTGTTCACCAGTAAAATATTGGACTAGAAATATGTAATATAGCTACTTCCTCTCAGATGTGACAAGACATTGTAAAACCATTACAATTTAATCACCAGAATACTAAAATATGTGGTGGTGCCTCTCACCATTGAGATCTTCTAAAAATGAAAAAAGAATTCTTAAATGGAAGAACTGTCTCTTGTTTGAATCTGTCTGGTGTCATTGAATCAGACGGCACACCAAATTGGCTTACACTGGACAACCAGAAGTATAAACTCCAAAAAGGCAGCATTTGACAATGCATTCAAGATTTTCTTCCTAGTTAATGACAATCAATGTAAGGAATCCATTGGGTAATGAGGCAAGAAGCCAAAAAGTAACACTGACAAAAATTATCATGCGTGAACATGCTTAGAAAGTTAAGGCCAACCAGGTGAAAGCTGGATCTCTCGTCTGTCTGATGTTAAAACTTCAACTGCAAGTACCTGGCTGATATCTGCAATCTGATGTGAAAATTGTCAAAATGAGGGGATGGACATATAATGATCATCCAAATAATGAAGTTGAACAAATTAGACCTGCATAAATACCGTACTTATTAAAACACATACATACCCATCCAAGATGTTGTAGAATCAAATCTTGGTCAGATGACTCCTCAAGAATCTTTGAAGCTTCGGCTGCAGCAACTTCCTTACCAGAAATAACCTTTGCTTCATTGTTATGTAGGCAATTCTCTAAAGCAGGTTCTTTCCAGAGGCCTGAAGAGTAATTTCTTGCAAGGATACGCCAAATGGCCACAGCCTTCGAGCTCATTCCTTTGCTTGCGTATAGGAAGGCAAGTGTCCGTAAGTGTCCTGATCCTTCTAAAATTCTTTCCAACTCCTCCTGCAACACCCAGGTACCTTTATTAGATCATCCTTCAGGGCATCAGATGTGAGGAGATATTTGGGCAACCATTGAGTTTTTTGTTTACTAAGCTTTTACTCCTATTTTAATCCGTTAGGACCTTTAAAATCATCCAGAACAAAACAAAAGAGCCATGCCATTTGATAAAAAATCTATTTTCCAAAATTAAAAATTTTATTCAAACAATTTGGATCAATGGAATAAATACAATACAATAGTATTTGTAACTTGACTAATAACGAGACACTGGTAACATCGCACATACCACAACACACCAGTTTGTAGAAGATGCCAGTCTTTCCATATCATCAGCACGATTTAGGGCTCTATAGAGATACATTAATAAAGTGTCAACCCCCTCCCTCACCAATTGCATTAAGTTCTTTTCTCGACAAGCCTCCAAATACCTACATAAATTCGCATTCATCAACAGAGATCTTAATGATTACAGATTCACAAGGCCTACAGCTATGAGAAATCTTCCAGGTAGATCATTTTTACATTTTGCAACGCTAGCATTCTATTATGCTGAAACGTACATATACCAAAGATATTTGTATTCTCCAACCCAAACCTCTCTTTCAACAACCAAGAGAATTACAGGTCCAATATGAGGAAGCATGTATAGGAAACTCAGTCTCAATGACAGACAATGGTGGTTGCAACCAAAAAATGGAAATAACAACTGCAAAGAATGTAAAACCTGCTAATATTCTTGATCGCTGACTCCAACAAATCCGCTCTGTTTGGAGGATTCAGAAAAAAGGCATTATCTACTATAGTTTCAACACCTGCTTTCCTCAGGAAAGAAGCTCTTTGGATTGTCATCAAGCCATTGTCCACCACATCTTCAAGTGGGGCTGGAGGAGGATGCAAACCCCAATACCGATTCCGAGGAACCTACAAAAGTCAGTTTCAACCTCTGTACCACATTCATAAGGCTCAACTTCTAACTATAAACAATAAAAGATGCAATGAGATGTACAAGCATAACAGTACCAGCAAGGACCAGCGATTTGGATCTCGCATTATAAACGGAAATACTTCAGAAGGCTGCATTGTCTCGGAAAGCAGAAAGTGGTCAACTGCTTCCTCAAAATGCAGGTCAAAAAGCAAGAGAAATCCCACTTGTGCATGAACAAAGGATAGAAAATCCTTTGATATTTCACCTTCAGCCTCAAGCTCCTCAACCAATGATATGGCTTCATTATAATTCTTTTTCCTAAGCAGGTCTTTTATTTGTTCTTCGAAAGGTAATTTTTTATAGCAAATCACCTGATAATACATCGAAAAGTAAATCACTGAAGTTCTTGTACAATGAACTATAAACTAACAAGTTAAAATTATAATGTTCAGCCATCAAACAAAGCAAGAATCCAAAAAGTTTTGATAGGACCAAATGTTGTCCAATATCAGTCAAACAATAATCTCAAATCAATTCAACTCAATTTATGGGTGATTCAGATTAGATAAATCACAAATAATAATAATTTGTACTCATTTAGGCCCAGAGGCTTCATTTATACGTACTATCCAACCGGATGCTAGCTTTAAATAACATTCAAGATGAAGAAGGGACCGATGTAACTCAATAATATACTTCCATCAAATAAATATTAGGCTTCCAGAAGCCTGACTTGGGCAAGTTTATTCCACTCAAACAATGTACAAAGACCAAGTAGAAAGAGACCTTGAACATGCCAAAAGAAAAATCCTAAATTAACAAAATATTAAAACCTTGGATATTCATACAAACATAATTAGGCCTTGTTGAGCAATAATACATATAAAATTTACTTTTCAGGAAAAAAAATACTGAATAAAAATAACTTTATCAGTTAGCAGTAGAAAGTTCCACTTCCAATAGGACTAAATATGAATGTTTCCTCTTTCACTGAAAGCATTGATACGTGATCATAGATCCTAGACAGCTAGGTCGTTTGGCAGCACTTAGAGCTAATTGTCTGGTATTTAGGGAAATACTCCGGGAACTCTCTCAATAATCTCAATATTATCTGCCAATAGAAAGGGGTCATTAGTGCCACCAAAGCACTTAGATCCAGCAATTCAAATGTTGAAATACACACCCAGCAACCATTTCAGAGTATGAGTACCCAGATTGAAAGAATATATTAGACAACTTGTTTTTCTAGAATAATTTCAAGAAGAATAAGCATACTGCTTTTATGGAAGTTTGCCAACAAGGTTGGTCAAAGCACATCAGCGGTTGACCAATAATACACTCTAATAGGTACCAAAGCACCAACTTGAAACTCTGCAAACTAATTAATTTCTACAGATATGGTTGGAATTCTTCATCACCCCCCTGGGGGCGGGGTTTTTTTTTTCCTTTGGGGTTGTTTATGACCTTTTTGGATAGAAATCGCCAAGGTACCTAATAAAGACTTCGACAAGAAATCAAGCATCAGACAAGACTAAGCCACCCATCCGCATGATGTGAAAAATTCACCAGTATAACTTCCATCCTAGAACAAACAAACATATACACTAACAAATAATAATAAAGATAAAGATAATTGTCAGAGTGGATTCAAAATGAAGGTTGCAGTACTCCCGGATTATTAAAAGAACGTACCTTGGTGGCTGTGGCAACGGCAACAAATTCCCCATCCCCTTCTTCCTCAGAAGCAACAATGCAAGGCCCAATTCCTTCCCCGCCAAACGGTAATGCCTGAATACAAGTACCAGATCTTTTATGATACAATTCCATTTTTCCACCATTTACAATAACCACATAAGAAGATATCTCTCCTACAGAATCCAAGCCATGGTGGAAGACCAAACTACCACCCACTGGCTGTCCATGATCATCAACAATGATGCCCACATTGTCCACTAACAAAAGCACTTTCAATTCTTTCAGTAACAACTTTAAACGTGGGGGACGAGATACATCTGGCGAGGAAAATATCACAACACTTTGTCCTGTAACACAGGAAATCAAGTTATACCCATTGATAGTGCCAACAATAATTGAATCATTGATCCATACCATGGTCATAATTCCATCAACACACTGAATCTCTTTCAAAATCACAAGAGACCCAGTTACCCCATTGATGTCTCTGTCGCTTCTGCTAGCCCCATGGCCGAAAACAAGCTCTACAAGCATTAGTTTTTTGCCAATGACAATAGCAAAAACATAATTCTCGCCGCTGTGGAGTTCAGGCTCCTTAGTTCTCAAACCATTAGCTCTGGACCCACCTCCCAATCTTTGCATTAGTCGTTGACCTGTACTCGATTGTTCTGAATAACTATTTACAGTCCCTAAAAACTTTGAACTATCCGATTCATTACTCCGCATTCTCCGTGTAACTAAAGAAATGCCCTTCGAAAAACTCAATCTTTTCGGCGGCTGAGTCAGAGCAGAATCGACCATAAACAATGACCCATCGGAAAGCAACAAAAGCTTACCTACCTCGCCGAGTACCAATATGGAATCCACAGGGGAATTACTCGCCGAAACGCTTTTAAGCAAAGAAAGCTTCTTCAAAAAGGAAGCGTTTTTGGAAAATTCCAACTCAGTTGTAGCATCGGGGGCACTAGTTGCCGCATTGTTAATCTCTGTAGTGAGTGAAAGGACAGTTCCAGACTGAGTGCCAACATAGAATACAGCTCGAGAGTCGGATTCTCTAAAAATGGCGAGCGATCGAACTGAACTTCGAGAGTGATTGTACAGGTCGAACTGTGCCAATGGCCCGATCACGATGCGACTTCTAGGTTCAGCTTTAGCCATATTTTTGTCAACCCAAAATAGCTTTATAGATTACTGTACCCATCAAAGCGCAAATTCTAAGGAAATTCAGCGATGATTCTGATATGCTTGCACTCTGCTCAATTTTGGCAGAACAGAGTGCAACACCCTGGACTCCGACGACCGGAACAAACGATCTTCTGAATCCCCGTGAGGGGTCGAATTTTTGGCGTATTCCCGGCGTTCCTGCGAGCCGGCTTGTTTTGGTTCTAAGCCCCGATTCCCGTTTTGATGCTCTCGGTTTTATTTTTTGGTCATTTTTTGGGTGTCTATGTGCTCTTGATTGCCCCTGGTAAGCCGTGTTTAGATTTTAGAATGATTTCCTACTTCACTCAACACAATGTGGTGATTTTCATTTTTTGGTTTCTTCAATGCATAAGGAATTCTTTTTTTTTTTTTTTCTGGCCATGGGGTGGGGAATTGGATTAAAGGCAGATTTCACAGATTAGCATATGCTCCTCTACTCTTATTTATAAGATAGAGAGATAAGATTTTTTTTATCATATTTATAAGTCATTTTGTTAAATTTTCGATACGAATATACTATTTTATCCTTTATTTATTATAGTATAGGTAGTTATCTCTTTTAAAATGTGTATATAGTAAATATAGGTAATTTGAAGTTATAAGATTTTAATTTATTTTATTTTATTAAAAAAATATTTTATCCAGAATAATTTAAACTAAACATCTTTTTTCATATATTATTAAACACAATTTTTCAGCTAAAAAATATATTATACACAATTTGACATAAATTTATATAAATTAAGAATTCAATAGAATTTATATTTTATTCCCGTATTAATTTGGCCAAATACTTTTCCATAGTAAAATGACCTGAGATAGCTCTAGGATTAAATTTAATTTTTAATTAGCTTTTAAATTTTTTTTGCTACGTATAGGTATTCTTTTATTAGATGTAATCTTATTCAAGATACTGATAAACACTAAATATGGGCACATATCCTGAGGATTTGAATCTTATTTTTGTCACATTGTAAAAGATTAATCTCTTTCGCTAGATCTAACTCCTTTTTTTTTTAGCTACATATAGATAACTTTATACTAGAGGCCATTTTATTTGAGGTAATGTTAGATAGGGGTGATAATATGGGCCGACCCGCGGGTTGCAAGTTGGCTTGTGGTGAGTTAGGATTAAGCGGTACGGGCTAAAAAGATCCTGTGCAATGGCGGGTTGGCTTTTAGCGAACCCGTCATGATGGGTTGATGGGTTGGCCTACCAACCCGCCAACTATTTTTTTAATATTTTTTTATTTTTTTAAATATTTTTCTTACACAATATAAAAAAATAACAAAATTTTTATCTTTTCTTTAAATACTTGATTAAAAACACAAAATAAATAAATGATATAGGTATTTTTTTAATTTTTTAGATCGAATATATAATATAATAATATACATATAATGATTAATAAAATTATAAAATACAAAAAAAAAAATAAATGCGAGTTAACTCGTGGGTTGGCGGGCTAACCCGCGGTGGGTTGTAGGTTAAGCGATGCGGGTTGGAAAGCATTGTTTATATAAGGGTTGAGTTTAGCCAACCCTAACTTGTTATTTTTGGTGGGTTGGTGGGTTGGACCTACAGGTTCAACTCATATTACCAGTTCTAATGTCAAGTGTTACATGTAAGTATTTCTCTCACCACAGTCAACTTTTCTCCTCTATCCTTCCTATGGCTACCTCTACCTCTTTCATCATCGTTTCATCAAACCTTAATAGTTCAGATTTAATATTTATAAAAAACTATTTTTACCCAAAAAAATATAATTTTAATTAAAAAATGCATAAATAAATCCAAACCGCTAAAACTTGACCTGAACAGTTTACAACTGTAAATTATTATATTCAGATTTATTTATGTATTTTTTAAAATAAAATTATAATATATTTGTCCAAGAATAATAATACTTTTAAAAATATTAAATCTAGTTTATGGTACCTTTATATTTTTCATTTGCCCGAATAGGCTATTTACATGTTGGATTGAACTATTTGAAATTAAACCCTATGACCTACAGCTGCTCATATTCAATATGACGCCAGCTTTGAAATTACTTTCAAATACCTTGAGTCCAAAAAAAAAAAAAACTTTCAAATACCAGAATGGTGTGATGATGCTTAAATTGCGTCTTGAATTTGTTAAAGGTTTTCATCTTAGTGCGTTCATATTACCTTTATGTAATGGTTATACTACCTCCGATCATAATTATAAGAGCTAGTTGACTAACTTGAGAAGATTAAGAAAAGACGTTAAGTTAGTTATTTGTAATAAATATGTATTGTCTTTCCTAAAGTATCCTTGCTAATTAAGTGTATTGGCTATAACTACTATTATTAGGAGAACTATCTTGAAAAAAAATGCATAAATATAAGAGACAAGATAGATTGAGGTCTTATATTTAGAACCAAAATAAAAATCAAACAAAGTCTTATATTAAGAACCAGAAATAGTATTAGATTCCTGAGATGTGAAATTAGGAAAACCAAAAAGTTTGTTACAAACCTGGCGTTATTTTGCTGGCGAATAATAATCTATCCACAACATAAGTTTGTTTGATCTTATGAAACATTATCATCTGCAATGTTTGTTCATGACATAGAATAATACACACAGTTTCAGTTGGGTACATTTCAACCATACAAAATTATTCCTAAGACTTGCAGAAGACACTTAAAATCACGCCAAATCATGTAATTCTTGCACCTAGTACTCCACAATGATCTTGCCAGTAGCATGACCATCCATAAGCTTAGCCCAAGCATCTTCAACCCTGGACAGAGGATACTTGGAGTCTATTATAGTCTTGAGCTTCCCATTCTTGACCAAATCAACCAGATACTGAAGATTCTCAGCTTTTGGAACCATGACCATAGGCACAGGTTGCTTCTGGGAGAAGGTAAGTTTCTTGAGAAACCATGTGAGTACTCCACGAGGAGAAGGAGTTATATCTATAACCTTCCCATAAGTGCTCAAGTTAGGCTCAAAAGTTGCCCAAGGAATCCCCACTGCACAGTGAATCACAGCATCATATCTCTGACCTGATGGACTCCTCAGTGCTGCTCCATCGGGGGTTTTATAGTCAATAACCTCATCAGCTCCTAAGCTCTTCACTAGTTCCATGTTGCGAGCCCCACATGTGGCCGTCACGAAGGTGTTTCCCAGCTTTGCCAGTTGAACTGCATATTGACCTACGCCACCCGACGCGGCGGTTATCAGAATGTTCATCCGGTGAGGGTTGCTTCCGTCGAGTTGGATGCCGGCTTGGATGATTGCCTGGTGAGCTGTGAGACCAGCAACTGGTAAGCCTGCACATTCTATAGCTGAGACTCCGGCTGGCCTTAATGCTGTCACGCCCTCTTTTGCAACACAGTACTCAGCTAGTCCACCACCATTCTACCATAAATCAATTTCACAAAAAAAAAAAAAAAAACCATAAGATGTCTTTTTTTTTATTTTTTATACATAATAAAATTGACGTGAGTTGAGTTTTGGGAGCTCGCTAAGACAGAGTATACCTGCAGGCTCAAAGAAAACTTACAAAGATACTTATACATTACCCACTAATAAGATCCTCACATCAACAGTAGGATTCAAACTCATAATCTTATAAGTTATGAGTCGACTCCTTATCAGTTAAACTAGAGATATGATATGTTTAATGCAACAAATGAAGAAAACCAGAGAAAATGAGTGGCTGAGGAACTTACAAAGTTGTTAACCCAAGCCACAACTTTGTCACCAGGCCTGAACCTTTGGATACCTGAACCAACCTCAATAACCTCTCCTGTCACATCCAGTCCTGCTCCAACACGTAATATATCCTCAATGCAATTGTTTTTAGATACTATTTTTTGTGCAAGATACATGAAGGTAATAACTCTAAAAGTTCTTAAAAATCGCACCTAAGTTTTTAATATTCAAATTTGGCCAAAATATGTGAAGAATTTTTTTAAAAAAAATGCATGAAGCCCAATAAAATACTTGTAAGGAAGTTTTTTTTTACATGTCATAATAAAAATTAGATTATGAACTCTACACGCTGTGCATGGACTGAGGTAACCAATGATTTCATGGCATAAAATCTGGACAGCTCATATCAAAATTAGAAGGCCAAGATTTCATAGTTTTTTATTTTATAATTTAATAGATTGTTAGTTTAGTATATGAAGAATTTAAAATAAAAGTAACGTTCTAAGTTTCTAACTATCATTTTTTTAAAAAAAATAAATTTATTATGTTAAAATACAAATTAAAAATGTGAAGTTTGAACTGTTTAAATCAATTGTTAATACAATTTTTAATCCTTTAAAATTGTTCTCATTTTGGCGTTAGCCCATCAAATTTTAAATTATAGGTTTTAATCTATCAAGTTTGTTTTTGTTTAAAATATTGTTCTTTATAATTTAATAAAAATCTAAAAATATTTTGTCTTTTAAGAGACTCATTTAAAACTTAAAAGATTAAAACTAGAATTTATGCAAAAACTTGGAGACTAATATTAAATTAACTCTTAAATAAACTATTTAATAAATGCAGATCTTATATTGCCAATAAATGCTTATACCATGTGTCCGATCTGAGATGAACCTTAATAGTGAATGCCATCAGTAAAGAGACCCAGTCATGCACAAGTCCCAGTACAACGGAGGCAGGAGTTGGCAATAGATTTCTTGCAAGTTACGTAATCTGTTAAGATGCAACTTATAAATTGATTCTAAATTTGAACCTTGGGATTCCCTTCTTAAAAATATTTTCATATAATTTTTTATATAAAATTATTTATTACAAATAGCTAATTTAACAAATTTTTTTAATTTATTTAAATTAATTAATTAGTTCTTATATTAAAAATTAGAGATAATATAAAAAATTAACCCAGTAGAAAAATGTTTGGGCAAAAAAAGGTTTTCGTTTTTCACACCAATTATCACATGAGGCTAATATTAAAAGCATAACTTTTATGCACTTAGTGGGAAATCAATAATCTCATCTTACCATGAAAATGCTATTGATTACACTTTTTATTCCATTTTTTGCAATAAGTGGCGTAAAAACCCTATTGTAAAAATGGTAAAAAAAAATAACAGAGAAATTCTTGATCAATTTCCGCCTTTTTCTCGGGAGGCCAAAGGTGGCGAAGGAGGTTCGGTTTTTACTTTGGAAAAATAAAAAAAAATAATTATTGAATTTCAAAATGTCAAATCAGGAATTAATACAAAAATATATTATCATTTTCTTTTCAAATATAGTCATTTTTTTACGAGTATAATAACTAATATTTGTTTGAAATTTTGAAATTCAACAATAACTTTTCTAGGATTTTCCCTTTTATTTTCGTCGGGCATGGTAAGTCTCTTGTTTTAATGGGTTTCAATTTTTATTTAAAAAAAGTAATATTATTTTCGATCATTAATATAATATCTAATTTGATTTTTTTCCTCCTAAATATAATATTCTAATTCACTTTATTTCTCGTATTTATACAATTTTTCTAAGATAGTTCTTCTAATAATTATAGTTTTAGCCAACACACTTGATTAATAAGAATATTTTAGAAAAGACAACATCTAATTATTATAAATAATTAATTTAACTTATTTTTTTAATCTCTTCAAATTAGTCAATTAATTCTTATAATTAGGACCGGAAATAATATATAGAAATAGAGTGGGGAAGGAGGGAGAGGTCAGGTAAGTGTAAAATTATACTTAAAAATACATACATAAATTTAAATTGATAAAAGATGATCTAAACAATTCATAACTGTAATGAAAATATTGGGAAAAAAAACTACTTTCTAACAATAGTTTACAATTGCAAATTATTCTGACCAAATTTAAAAATTTAAATTTATTTAGTTTTCATCTAAAATTATAATAATATTTATTTTTATAAAGTGTTAAATTCAGAACACTAAAATTTTGATTCAGTGGCGGTAAATCAAAAGGGAGGCTAGCAGAGGAGAACTGGAGAAGGGTAGAGGAGGAGAGGGGTGGTTGAAAGAATCTAGATCCATCATAAAAATTAAAAAACAACAACAAAAAACCAATACATATCTTATCATATCAATAAATTTTATATTTTTTTTTTAAAATTTTGTGTGTGCGCGCGCAAATCAGCGATCACAAAGCTCGAACTTTTTTTTTTTTTGACCTTGATAAAGCAGAACTTGAATACCACGTGCTGGAAATAAATGCAGATTGCCAAAGGAAAGAATCGATAGTACACGAATTTTGAGGGTGTTTGAAAGTAATTTTAATACGTTTAAAATAAAAATAAGTATATAACAAAAGTTTTGTTTTTGACAAAATGGTTTTGAGAAAAGAAGAATTATAATGAGATCTCAAGTAAAAAAAATTTAAAAATAAATTCTAAAAGTTGTCATTCTCATTATATGACTTATCATTATAAGTTGTTGGGGTTGTTGTTAGAACCTTTTAATAATTATTTTTCTTCTGTGGAACTTGATTATAATTAAACTAATTCATACACTTATAATCTTATCCATAAATTATTTCTCTTATCTTATTTATAAGATAGATAGGAAGTATTTTTTTATTCTTAATACAAGTCATTTTATTAAGTTTATTTTATGAAAAATACAATTTTATCTTTAATTTATTATTACATTAGATTCTTGGATTTCTCATTAAAACATCTATATTAAATAAAAGTAAAATAAAAAATTTATTAAAATTTATAATAAAATTAATTAAATTTAAAATTTTTCTTGATTTCCATCAAATATGTTGAAAGTTACCTATCAATATGACTAGAGGAGTTTACTTGATGATGTATAAAATTTGCTGGGAAAAAAAAGAATGATGTATAAAATTCTAGCTTTTTTTCAAACAACTTTTTTTTTTTGGCAAACTAACTAATTTTTTTCCTCCTTCGCCCTCATTAATTATATAATATATCACTGCATTAATTGCTTACTTACCTCTTTTTCTTATTTTCTCATTTTCTCTCACTCTAATCCTATTTAGAAGTAACAAATCAACTCAGATAAAAAGTTGGTCAAATTGATTGAAGGCAATGAATGTGTGAGAAATGTAATTTTTAAAAAAAATATGCACTTATTCACGGAGAGGGTAGGTGACAGAGAAAATGAGGGGACAAAATGGGAAAGAAATGAAAGAATGATATAATTAAGGATAAAGTATATATTTCATCTTTTTATTTTATTTAAGATTTTAATTTGGTTCCTTATTCTTAAAAGATATACATTTAATACTTTTAACATTATAATCCATTAGGTTTAAGTGATAATTTTTTGCAACAATCATAATATGTTAATATTTGAAAATATTTTATCAATATTTAATATCTTAATATTATTTTTTGTTAATAATTTTAAAATTGAAGGACTAAAAATATATTTTTTAAAGTTAAAAAATTAAATTGAAGCTTTCTATAAAATTAAAAAACTAAATATATGCTTTAGTTTATAATTAATTAGGGCGAAAACTGAAAAGAAAAAAAAAAAAAAAAAGAACTAAATTTTCATCAAGTAGCTTATAAATTGTCTGCGCTGCGTTAGTGCAAGGAAAGAAGAGAAAGTACCTGGAATATGGGGAAATCTGCGAGGGATAAGTGGTCGATAATAGCCTTCCTGAACTTTCCAATCAAATGGATTCAAACCGCCAACTTCCACTTTAATCAAAACCTCGTCTTTGTTCGGACTTGGAATCGAAACTTCTTCATGCTTCAAATAACAAATAACAACATATGAGAATTTCAACTTCAATGGAAGTGCTTTCCCAAACACACATCTATGAACTGATCTCACAAAAACCTCCTTCAACAACAGCATAATTAGATCAACATAGAGATCCAAAAACACATCAGAAACCAAACAACAATAATAATCAAAACTTCCGTTTGGTTTCACGCTGAAAAGTACCAAAATTTCTAGTAGTGTGCAGTAGAAATGCGAAGCCAAACACACACTTGAGTCAGAAAGATGAGAAAGTGAAGAAGACGAGAGACATTAAACCTTCAAGGCAGAAGCTCCTCCGCCGTAGGAGTGGTACCGAACTGCTCGCATCAGCTTTCCCATTTCCAAATTCCCCTGTAGATTTCAGAAGGAAACGATGAGACCAAACTCCAAACCAACTCACTGCATATATATATATATATATAGACACACACATCCTTCGGCACTTCAAAAGACTGAGCTGGAGCCATTTAATTGGGGAGAGAATGGATGAGGGGTACACTTCGAGTACCAAAAATTTTCTCCATGGGTCTTGTGAATAGCATGGGTTTGGGTAAAACTGAAAACGAGATCAAATTCTCTACGAATATCTTAAATTTAGTATGGAAATTTTCTCTATAAGTAATTTATAATGAACCTTGGAGTAATATTTTTAAAAAAAATTATGTCAGCATAAGAAAAATGGTATGAAAAGAAGTGAAAAATTACAATATTCTAATTCAAACATCTAAAAGCTTAAAATCCCAAAGGAGGGAATGGTGCTTGATTTGGTAATTTGTAAATATATTTAAATAACTTAAATACCCTTGTATCAGATTTAAAAGGAAAGTTATCAAATTTGTTATTATTAGTACATTTTTTGTCATTAGTTGTTCAATAGTTATTATTATCAATTCATAACTTATTAATAAATAACTTATCATTATCAATACATTTCTTGTCATTTCTCAACACTTATCATATATAGTTCACTTTTTGTTGATAAGTTTTTTGAAAGAAAAGTATTTTTATCATTTAACTATATTTGCAAAATATCCTATCAGACATCACTCTCTCTTTTAAGATTTTAAAGTATTATGTTAGTTAATTGAAATATTGTAGTTTCTAATTTTTTTAATATCATTTTTCTGTTATTATATGTGAGTGTTATATATATATATATATATAATTGTCCAGAGGGATAGGTATTTGATGTTTTTTTTTTTTTATGCCCGGCTCAGAATCCAAGATAGACTATATGTACATGTTATAATTGAGAACTTTTTTTATTAAAATAAATGCATTATTTAGGAAAAGAACCGACAAATGCACCTAACCAATAAATAAAAAAGGAAAAAGAATTCTGAATCTGTGATCCCTTGATATGCATCGCGTGGTCCTAGAAAAATATTTTAAACAATTATTTTTAATAGTCAACAGAATTTATTGTAGTTAACATAATCATCGAGACTCTGGTAAAAAAAAACAAAAACGCATAATCATTGAGAGACAATAGATAAGTGGATATATTAAAAAAGAGAACCCCACAAATTTTTTTTTTAAATTACCAAATTTTAAATAAAATATTTTTATAAAAATGTGTGCTGTAAAAACCTATTAAAGTATTGTTACTGGATCTAAGGTTTAATGATTTTAATTTTTTTGAAATTCTCCTGCATAAAAAGAGAATAAAATTTTCCCTCTACGGGTCCTACTTTTTCCGGCATCATCTTTTTCTCTGTAACTCTCTCATACTCCCTCTCTCTTTCTTCTGTCTTTTTTAAATTTTAAATTAGAAAATAACAAAAAAAGAAGCTGAAAATTTGTAAATATTAGATAAGAAATGTTAATAAAAATTTGTTATTATTTGTAAATTTAGTATTGTTAACACCAAATAAAATATTGTTACTAAACCTGAATTGAGATTTAATGATTTCTAACTTCCTTTTTTGTCATTCTTTTTTTTAAATTTTATGAAGGTAACTCATATTATAAAGGAAAAATTTTAATAATGTTTCACCCAAGAGAATTAAATGCAAAAAAATTCTTAAAATCATCAAATTAATCTGAAGTCCTAAAGGACCTCATTGCAAAGGATTCCACTTGTTTAATTGCTAAATTTTCCTTATCTTTTTTTTTTTAAATATACATTGACAACTGAAAGAGCGATTGTTAACAACTTAAGACGTAACGGTTAACAACTATCATGACAGATATTAACAACATATTTTCTCAACACATCACAAAAATATAATGTAGGAATTGTTAATACCTACACCGATAGTTATTAATCGTTATGCCTCAAGTTGTTAACGATTGCTTTTTCAACTGTCATTGCATACTCAGAAAAAAAGAATAAGGGCAAGCTAGTAATTAAACAAGTGAAATCTCTTGCAATAAGGTCTCTTGAAATTTCAGATTAATTTGATTTTTTGTATTTAGTTGTCTTGGGTGGGACCTTATTACAATTTTTCCTATTATAAATTTTAGTAATACTTTTCCGGTCCTAAATATAAGACCTTTATAAACACTATAAAAAATAGTCTTATATGAATTAGTAAAATTATGTATATAAATTGATTAAGCTTCAGTTTATGTACTTAAATTTTTTTTAAAAAAAGTATATTTTTATTTATTTTTCTTAAATGTAACACCATTAATCTCACTAAAGTAAAAATGTTGACTTGATAATCTTAAAATGATGACTCAGTATTTAAATTCTGACATATTAATTTTTAATTTAAGATATATAAATTAAAAAAAAAATAAGATAAAACCAAAACACACGCGTGCATATTCATGTGTGTACATTTTGGAAGCGCAAAACACTTTTGTATTCAGTTCAATGTAAAGAAAACAATTGAGACTTTGTTGTAGTTAAATGACACTAGGCCTCTTTTTTTTTTAATTTTGACTAAAATTGCTTCCTCTATTTTAATCGTATTTTTCAAGTGTATTTAATTTCTGATTTTATTTTTTAAGTGTATCTTATTCTGATCTTGTTTTATGGTATATTCAATAATCTTATTTTTTATAATATATTCAGCACTTCAATACTACTCCTCCGGTCCTTAATATAGGATCCAATTTTTGAGTTGGCTTTGATCCTAAATATAAGACCCATTTCTCATATGTATCAATTTTCTCTAAATTACCCCTATAAATACTCCCTCAACTATAATCAAGTAAAAGAGGGAGATGGGGTATTAAAAAAGATGATTATGGTGTTTTAGGAAAAATGTGTTACTTTTCTTATAATTAACTAATTTACCTAATTTCCTTAATCTAATCAAATTGGTTAGATGGGTTTTACATTAAGGACCGGAGAAGTATTTTTTTAGTCCCATCCAAAGCAACAAAACAGTCTCTCCAAATATAAGATAGAAGAGGATTGTTTCTCTCTACCCTTCTCCTCCTCTATCATCCTTTGCCCTTCACTACCATTGTATTAAAATATAAATGATTCAGATTTAACATTTTACAAAAGTCATATAAATAAATTTAAATTACAATGTTTGATCTTTTATTACTTTTAATTTATTTCAACAGATTTTTTAAATCGCACAATTTGATTATTAGGATTTCATAAAAAGCACGAGAGGAAGTGCTTTTAACGGATATTGGCATACTTCTTAATTCATGTTAGTTAATAAGATCTTATAAAAAAATGGAATGTAATACTATTAAAAAAACTTATGGTTAAATTTAACTGAATATAAAATACTACATTTATGCTGATAGAGGAGCTAGGACATTTTTCTATTATATGATATTTTTTGAAATAATTGAGACGCAGCAGATTCAACTTACCAAAGGAGGAGCAGGGGAAGGGAAGGGTAGAGGATGACGGGTAGGGGAGGGGAAGGGTAGGAGAGGAGCTAATGCCTTATGAGTGGGTGGGGGAGGCGAAGGGTAGAGGAGGGGAGAGAAGCTAACTCTCAAAAATCACATCGCTAACGTTCTTCCTTGCCCCGTTTCCTGTCACGTCTCCTTCACTCTTTAATTAATTAAAAAAAATTAAAATAAGGTTTCATATAAGAGAACTAAATACAAAAAAATTTCTTAAGATCATCAAATTATCTGAAGTCTTAAGAGATTTCATTACGAGAAATTCTATTTGTTTAATTCTTAAAATGCTCTTATCTTTTTTTTTAAAACTTGTATTGATAACTAAAAATAGTTAACAACTTAAGGTATAATGATTAATAATTATCATGGCAGATATTGACAACTTGTATATTACATTTTTGTGATGTGTGAAAAAATATGTTATCAATACCTATCGTGATAATTGTTAATCATTTTATATTTTAAATTGTTAACGATTGTTCTTTCAGTTATCAATATATACTTAAAAAAACTAAAAAGGATTTGGTAATTAAACAAATAAAATTTCTTGCAATTTAGTCCCTTGAGATTTCAGAATAATTTGATAATTTTAAATAACAATTTTGTATTTAATTCTTTTAGGTTAAATCTTATTGCAATTTTTTCTAATTAATTCTGTAAATTTATTTTTTATTTTTATACGAACTCCATGTATTTATAAACAAGGTAAATATCTCCTGCTTCATCTATTTTTTTTAAACATAACATAAATACCATTTGAAATTCTAAATTTCAAAAAATTTATCCCAATTTTTAAAATTCTAAATCAATATTTATAATCACAATGAAATCTTAAAATATTGATAATTGTACAATCTTGCCTTTAATTCAAAAAATCCCAAGCCACCATCCCATCTTCTCAAGTCCTAAACTTCCGGCGTGACCTTTTTTTTTTTGGTTTTTGTTTTTTTAGCTAAAATAGTTAAGATAGAATTTGATCCTACTGTTCCTTGGATTCCGAAAATTTAAATAACCATTGATCCACTAAATCTCTTAGAAATGCAAAATTACTACTTATTCTTAATATAAAAATTAGATAATTGATTTGAATAAATTAAAAAAATTAGTTAAGTTGATTATTTGTCACAAATATGTGTTGATTTTTCTAAATTATTCTTTTCAATTATGTGCATTGGATGATATAAGAGCTAGATAACTAATTTATAGAAATTAAAAAAATTAGTTAAGTTAGTTATTTGTAACAAATATGTGTCAATCTTCCTAAATTATCTGTTTCAATTATACGCATTAGATGATTGGAATTATTTATTGGTGAGAACCCCTTACAATCAATTTGGATATTTTGAGAAAAGATAAAAGATAAAGTGAACTTAAAGTCTTATATTTAGAATTAAGTTAAATTTTTAATTAGTTCTTATATTAAGAATAAAAAGTAGCGTAAAATAACTATCAAAGTAAAAGGCCCTGTTAAAATTTACTTACTACTGTCAATGGCATGAAAACTTTTACCAAGCATCACCGCTTCATCAATGTAATTTACAATAAAAAAGAAAAATGATAGAAAAACGATAGATTAATTTGAGAATGACAAAAACATCCGTTGAATTTACAAAATACCATTTTGGTCACATGAGACCAAATTGAGATTATTATGTTAAAAAAAAAACACAAATTGTCAT